TCTCCATTAATTTCCAATATAATCCAAGTGAAGCAGCAACTGAAAAACTATTAAAGTGTCAAGCTCGGTGGCCAACTATGAAATAAACATATAAAATAAAAATCTATCCTATTTACTGGTAATAATTACTTTGAAAACATAATAAATAAAATTGTATAATAAACTATAAACTGTCCTGGAATGACTTTGATGAGAAATATGTGGGACACACACACACACACACACACACACCCCTAGAGAACATAAAAGAAAACCTAAATAAATTAAGAAATATACTATGTCTTTTCCTGGATAGACAGACTCAATATTGTAATGATGTTAATGACATTTTAGGTATAAATAATTCTGATCAAAACTAATAGACTTTGGAGAGTTGGGGGAATCTGGCAAACATTATAAGTTCATTTGAAAGGAAAAATGTTTCAGACTAGCTAAGAAAAAAGTGTGAATAAAGTAACAGACTAGGGAGAATGGCAAAGAGAAATCTGGCATTTGTTGTTGCAAATACAAGAGCATGAAACTGGTGGAGAACCCAACAGAGACATTAATGGAAAAGTACAAGCCCCCCCAAATAAACGTTAGCATACATAAGAATTTATGTATGATAAAAATGTAACAGCAATAATCATAGGAAAAGTTATTCAATGAACGGTGCTAAAATAAATGACAATTTGGGTGGAAAATATGTTATATCCCTATCTCATCTTATTCACCAAATGAATTTTAGATGAACTGACAGCTAAATATTTTTAAAATGATTAAAAAACTAGATTGTCTATCTGATCTTAGAATAGGAAGTCTTCATGCATAAAAGCACTGGAAGAAATTACCATGGTCTAAAGGAAGTTTAGAAACTAATCAATTTGACCGGTAAAACATAAAATGCACATTAAAAGCACTGTCGCAAATCAGAAAGGCATTTTGAGGAAAACATTTTACTATAAAGGTGATAAAGGATTCATACTCTATACATGGACAACTCATGAACATCAACAAGAAGAGAAACACTCATACATATAGACTGAGCAGAGAACATTAAGTGATAATTCACGGATTAAATTATATAAATAATGAGTAATAAGCGTGATACGTATATGTTTGAAATTTTCTATAATGAAATTTGAAGGGGAAATAAAAACCAAGGGAAAAGGCAAGGAGGAAAGAAAAGAGAAGCCACCAGTGAAATGCAGTGGGAACTGAGGAGTACCTGGCTACACTGCAACACCTCCCTTTTTCCTCTCCTTTAGGTTTGCAAAAGAGAAACCTATCTTATTTATTAAGTACCTATGAGACAGGTTGGTTTACATGATGGGACTGTGTATGTTTCCTAAAGGTAACTGAGACAGGGAACTTTTTTCAAAGCTAACAGCAGAATTAGTAAGTACAGAATTGTCTCTAAAGATGCATTGGTTTTACTCAAACCTAAGTGAGGGAAAGAATTCTGTGGCTTGGATATTGAAGGTGCTGATAGACAGCTCTTTAGGAAAGAACCACTTGAAACAGTCAAATGAGTAAAAAGAAAATGGCTCAGATTCAAAGAGACACAGACACAACAAAAAGAGCAATTCTGGTGCTGCTATAATGAGCATCCACAGAGACAAGGAGCCAAGAACAGGAAGGCTAAGAGGCCTTCAGAGGACAAAGGCATCCAGGCTCAAAATCTTTTTTTTTTTTTAACGCCTACAGCACCTGATCTTCCTAGGTGGTCTCCCATCCAAGTACTAACCAGGCCCTACCCTGCTTAGCTTCCAAGATCAGACGAGGTCAAGCATGTTCAGGATAACATGGCCGTAGACTCAGGCTCAAATTCTAAGAGCTGAAGTTATTAGAGATCAAAAGAGCACCATGCTCAAGGTTGCTGTGGTGGTGGGCCAGGTAGAAACCCCTGCCAAACTTAGCTCCACTTTCTGGATACATGCTTTCCACTGAGGCAGCCTTTCTAGCAGCAGACTTAGCAAGTCGCACATGTCAATTGAGGGGCATATAAATGAAGCAGTCTGGGACCCAGCCAGAACACTAAGGAATGGTTATTCCCTCTTGTCAGTAGCACCATGGGAACCCTGTGGAGAATCCTGCCCCTTCCCCATCCCAAAGAGAATTGCCATACCCTGCTCAGCATGGGGCATGTAGCCAGCTGGGCACACCATATCCCTTTCCTACAGTGACTAAGCATGCCTCCCTGAAGAACATGCTGAGGTGGGAAGCAGAATAAATATATCAAGAAGGATATTGAGCATATATTTAAAAATAATCAATCTAATTGAAAGATATACAACAAGATCTAAACAGATGGGGAAATTACCATTTCTCAGATAAAAGAGCTATATAACTTTAAAAAATCATTTCTCGCAAAACTGAAATATAAATTTAATGCAATTCTAATTAGAATCCCAGTGAGGGGAAGGACTGGATAAAAGTGATCTTAAAATTTGTATGTAAGAAAATAATGCCAAAGAGCAGACAACAGAAATATGTTTAAAGCTAATGCCATCAAACCAATATGATCTGGGTACACAAATAGACAAATGGATGAAACAGAATAGAGAATTCATAAATGGATACTAGTATATAAAAATGTTTATGAGATGATAAAGGTTGTAGTTCAGTTCAAAGGGAAAAGTAAGGATTATTCAATACATTATGCTACTCCAACTGTTTATTCATCTTTAAGAAAACAGTCTTAAGTAAGACTGGAAATAAGAAGCTATATAATAAAAGAGTTATATTTGGATATTTAAAAAGTAAAGAAAAATTAATTGGAAAAACATACCATCAGCAAATTCAATACATAAGATTTGGGGAAGATTCTCTATAACGATGTTAGACAAAGGGTCAATATACAAAATATACAAATAGATCTTACTAATAAGAAAAATATAAACAACCCATAGGAAATGGACAGGTAGTATGAACAATTCAAAGAGCAAATTTAATTGGAAAAAAAATATGAGATAATACTGAAATTCATTAGTAGCCAAGGAATTTTACCCATTAAGCTGTCAAAATTGTAAAAGAACTGTAACACCTTATGCTAATAGGGATATGAAGAAAAGAATAATCTCATATATTTCCTACGAAAGGTAAAAGTAAATTATAACAGCCTGTTTTTTGTAAATCAATATGGAAATATCTGTTAACAAATATATATGCACTGATATGTAAATATCCATGTGCATGTGTGTATATACATAGAAAGCACCAGAACATAAGGGAATATGCACAATGATGTTTATTTCAGCACTGATTATAGAGGCAGAAATCTGGAAAGAATAAATGTAAGTATTCATTAATAGGAGAATGGCTAAGTAAATTTTCATGCATCTATGAAATATTTTGTAGCCCTGTTTTAAAAGAATGAGAGCTATACTAGTAGACTTTGATGGATTTCCATGAGATACTATTGAGTAAAAAAAAGTGAGGTGAATTAAAATATATATAAGATTCTATTTTTGTAAAATAATGAACAACAAAACATTCTAAAACCTGTGTATGTGTGTGTGTGTGCGCGCGCGCTTGCGCATGAGCGTGCGCGTGTGTGTGTATACATCTATGAGTATGGAAGAAAATATGGAAGGATACATTCTGGTTTAGTAATGTGCAGGGCTGGCATGGAAAGATAGAGGTTGGAGAATCACTATAAAAATATCCAGCAATCATATTTATGTATTCTTATGTGTAAAAATGTACATATAAAATGAATTAAGTTTAGAAAAGATACAGTAATCGCTTCTTGACCTTTTGGCTAAGATCTAGTGTAGAAAAGATACAGTAAAAAAAACTAAATATGATCGCTGCTTATTAAAAAAAATAAGGAAATAATAAAAATTATCTCGATGGTAAAATTAAGGGTGTTGTTTATTTTCTTCTTTATATGTCTCTGTATTTTCTATAATGAGAATTATTACTTTCATAATAATGAAATAAAACTAATAAATGTTACTTTAAAAATATTACACTGAAAAACTGCCTCATTTGAGGAAATCAAGGGAGGAGAATGGGGTTAAATACCCCTTCTGCTTAGGAGCGGTCCAAGTACAAGAGATATAAAATCAGGATCCATTACCTCTCATCCAGCAGAAAGTTACGCATGTAAGGCAAGAGACTAAGTGGCTATTCCAAGAAGCTATTTGAAGCAGCCAGTAGGGTATATTTCCCCCTATCTAACATTTTAATGACTTAAGTAAATCAAGAAAGCCATTTACACTGCTCTCAATTACCCAAAGATCTGCTGGGCTCTTTACTTCCTGTCCCTTCATTCTGGCCTGTGGCCATTTCACTGCTCAGGAACAGCTCCAAAATGGGATCCAGGGAAGGAGGAAAGAGATGAAATTAATTTGATTGATTTAGCTTCTCATTAGCAACTCTAATAAAAGGTTTGATAAGTGAGATGGTCACAACTCACAGCTAAAATGAGGGTTCCAGGGCTCTTGAGAATTTCATTTAAGCAAACTTGCCTTTAGATAAACATAATTTACCTGAAATATACGTTAATGGATTTGATGCTTGTTATTTTTAAGAAAGCCAGGACTTGTAATAAAGGTGATAGTTTTCTCACTTTAATTTTAAGGGGCGGGCGGCGGCGGGGAAGACACAAAATCACAAGAACGGAGGTCTTTGAAATGAAGAGCCATATCTTTGGTGGAGCAGCAGGACCAAAATGCAAAGATTCTTCATATCAGAGAAGGCATCTGAGCCCCAGCATACTCTCAAAAGTAACTTTTGGAAGGCAGCAACCTTCTAAGGAAGCATGCCTTGGCCATAGACCACCACCACAAGGAATAGATAAAAAGGACTTGTCAGAGCTTGACAAAAGCCAAATTTCCACATAGAACATTTCCCTGTTTACCTGGTCCCTCACAGACTTTTGTCCTTTGGGATGCCCTGAGACAAAGCAGTGCAGGCCCAAGGTGTTCACAGTAATACATTCATCATCTTAGGTTATCAAACAGACAGAACAATCTGAATAGCAATGGCAACAATGAAAAACAATTTTCCCTTACCTGAAGACGACAGTAGCTCCTGGACAGGGAGGGCAGGCCAGGAGAAAGATCTGCAATGGAAAAAGAATTAAGTTTGGTTATCAATAGAAATGCTGAATGCAGTGAGACAATGTTACTTTAATGATAATAATAATAATAATAACAACAACAATAACCAAACTTTAACACAGAAAATATAATATAAAAAATTATAAAGGCAAGCAAGTGGTTTTCCAAACATGTTTGTGTTTGCACATGCATCTATGTGTGTGTATGTCTGAGTGTGAGTGTATGTCTGAGTGTGAGTGTGAGAGTGTGTGTGCGTGTGTGTGTGTGTGTGTGTGTGACAGAAGTGAGAGAGACATAGATGAGAAGTGAGGGATCAAGAGTTTTTTGGGGGGTAGGAAATAGAGAAAGCTTTTTTTGGCCCTTTCAGCCTCTGGAATGCTTCCTCTTAACCTCTAGAACAAGATTCAGTTTTTTAACACTTCAACTTCAATATAACACAATTAGCCAGTTTGAGAAACTGTCAAACTAAGACAACTACAAATAGATTCTGAGCTTAGAACAAGTACATAAATGCCATCTGGTTTGCCTTCTATGGGGAAGGTGGGTTAATCAATACCCAGCTCTACCAGATTTAGCAAATACAAATACAGGATGCCCAGTTAAATGTGAATTTCAGATAAACACTGAATAATGTTTTAGTATAAGTATGTTCCAGGCAATATTTAGCATATACTTATATTAAAATATTAGTCAATGTTTATCTGAAATTCACATTTAATTGGGCATCCTGTATTTTATCTGGCAACCCTATCAATATTGCCACCCTCAGGATCTATACTTCCTTTTGATTTTGAAGGGGAGCAGAATTTGCCTCCCCAAAAATCTCTTTGGCATTAGCATTATATCAAGCTGATTATTTTTAAGAAACAGCAGACACAGGAAAGCTCTGAAAACTGAGTAGACAGTTAATCCTTTTATAAGAGACATTTCCATTAGCAAGGGAAATTTCCATTTGTAAGGGTGCCTTCCCCTGTGTACCAGATAGAGGATAACTAAGTCTCTACAAACTCTCTTCCAAGGAGAAAGTAAGGACTTAAATCTGCATAACGACCTTACTCTTGTTTACTGTGCTTTTCCTGGTCACCTCCCATAACTCCCTCCCCCATCCCCACATCTTCTTTTATCTTTAACTGGAGATGGTATTTAAGGTGATGGCCTGGACAGTTTCAGGGAGTTACTCAGTTTTCTTGGAGTAACTAGGGGTATACATGTTATTAAACTTCCTTTTGTTTTTTTTTCCTGTTAATGTGTGTTTTATAAGAGGGATATCTCAGCCAAGAACCTGGGAGGGTAGAGGGAAAATTATTTTTCCTCCTCCAGAATGGATTGGTTCATTGCTAGGCATGACTATGTAGTTTTACTCTTCTATTCTCCTCTCAGGTCAAACCAAACAAAAATAACCTGGTCCTAAGAGATAAATCAGTTCCATGCTACCTCATTTGACCTAGGCCTGGGTTACAGCCTTCAAAACTGTGGCAATTTGACTTTCACCTTAGTACTGGTTTTCCAGAGGGATAAAGAAACCCCTATACATCACTTAGTAAACACGCAAATTCCTGGGCTCCTCCATTAAGGATGCTGATTTCTTAATCTGCACATTTAACAAACATCCGAGGTGTTCAACCACTCCTGGCAGCCAGATATGCTGAATGTCTGACCTTGGCTTGGAGTCAGAGACATTCAGCAGAACTAAGGACTGATAAAAAAAAAAAATGAAACTCATGTTGGTGGAGGTCCTTCACCTACAGTGATTTAATGATGTGGTTTATAAAATCATAAATATGTGTCCTTATCTTGTGAGCATTTATTAATATAGATTATACACTTTATAGATGCGTTTGGCTATGTCACATGTATATTCTTTAGCATTTGGTTCTTCGATTCTCTCAAAGTCTACATTTAGAAGGGTAGGATACTATCAAGAAAAACACTATAAGAAAAGATATCCACTTGAATCCCTGCCAAGAGGAGGAGAAAGATGAATGGAAAAGAGGAAGGATCTTGAAAGGAACACAGACAGGAGCCCATCACCTACACAATAACTCATTAGAGAACCCCTCCAAGAAAAGAGCTATCGAGAATGCGCCTTTCCCCCTGTGGATCAATTTGATTAAAAGTGCAAAACCAAGGACAATTACAGGTCCACAATCCTTTACCAGCAATGACCAAATCTAAAAAGCACTGAAAGTCTGGGTTTTTTCAAAGCTGATTTGGTAACAAAACATGATTTGAACTGAGCTGAGGCAAGTAACCCACTCTGCCTATTACACTTATGGTGAAGATTCATACATTTTCCATAAAAATAATTTATTTTGATTATAAAATAATGTATTATTTTACATGTACTGCCCCAAAATCCACTGGTAGTACATGTGAAACAGTAAAACATGCACTGTATTACCTTCCTAAAATCCAAAAAAAATTTCTGAAATACATACGAACTTAATGGTTTGTGATAAGGATTGTTCATTTGGAATTCCAATCATCCAAGTATGAATTTATCCCCATTCCCCACTCGACCACTGAGGAACAGTCCAAGAAAGAAAGAAACAAAGCTGGTATTCCTTACCACTGACCCAACAGTAGAGTTACTCGCCTGAGGCAAGGGACCAAGTTAGAGGCTGCACATAGCTACCACCTGGCATCTGGCCCATCACAGGCTACACTCAGAAGCTACAGTATATGGAGAATAGAAAGGGGCCTCCAGCCACCTTTGGAAAGGTCCTCAGTACTTTTGGAGTCTCCTAATAGCCATGCCAGCAGCCTCCCTGAGCTTCTGGAATACCTAAGATATTTCCAACATGCTAAGCAGAGAAGAAAAGTACACCACTGGGTCCTACAGTTAATTCTTTTCTATACTCACAGCCAAGAGGAGATGAACAGATTCTTGGGGGCAGATTTCCCCATAACTGCTCCATTTGGCTGGCTCTGATCTATTACAGCCCTATGACAGAAGCCCAGAAATCTACTAAAGGAAGCGAGCCTCCAGTTCCAACCCAGTAGGATGTCATATAATCTTCAATTCAATCATGGCTCTAACTTCTTTTGAGGCAGCTAACCTACTTTTTACTCTGAGTTTTCCAACAGATAGTTTCATGTGGCCTCATCATTTCAACTAGCGTTTTGGCCTTTCTCACCTTGCCGATCTATTCCCCAAACCAGGATGGAATGATCTTTAAGTCATATATAGAGAGACATATCAAATCGGCAAATTTGGAAAAGAACCCCAAATTCATCATATTCCATTTTCAGTGAACTCATCATGACAAGGAAAAATTTTGAGATGTCCTAAATTAAATTACAGCAGGCCGCAGGGTGGAAGGAAGAGACAAAAGATGTTAATCAGTTAACGAAACCTAAAAAAGACTGCTTACGTTCCTAAATGTAGGTTGAAACTTTGAATTAACTTCTAGGTAACTACTTTCTACAATTATCTAGAGAGAATAGCTATTTAAATAGCTGTCCACCACATACCACCGCATCTTCCTTACACATGAACTTTCCAGACTGTTGCCCGCAACCCATCATAAAGAGCACACACTTCTTCCTAGTGATTAACATACCTATCCCAGAACTAGCCACACTCTATCTGTTCCTTTATCTATAGCCAATGTAAATTCTTTCAAAACAACTTAGATCCTCCTTTCTCAAATTCGAAGTATAAAGGAACCTGTGAACTCAAGGATGACAGACATATTTGTCTTTTCCACCTAGCCCTGATGCTGATTATTTAGCTTGCATGCCCCAGGACTCACTCCTTTCTTTGGCTAGCTTATGGCTCAATAAACCTTTTTTTTTTTTTCAGAAAAATTTTTGGCCTGGAAGGCTTTTCTTTAACAAATGGCCTCCTTTAGCAACTTCAAAGATTTATAACATTCTGGGGAGGGGGGGGTGGCGTAGATGATAGAGGCTCTATTCATCCCTCTGGTGACCAAATAAATGTTGTAACAGAAACAAGGAGCAAATAGCAAGGAAAATTGCCTGGGGTCTAGATGAACAAGCCTTACAAATAGGGAGAGAACTAAGAAATCACCTTGCAATGGCAGAATGTAGGACGGGGCAGAATGTAGGATGGGGCAAAGATGCGAGGCTGCCCAGTCCCGAGCAGCCGAGTGGGACAAAGGCCATGGCAGCAGCAGCTGCAGACACCTCTTAAAGGAGCTGCGACCCAAACAGACTTTTGTGGTGGCGGAACTGCTTGCTCTGAGCACCAGCAACGGGTCAGCTGTGCAGGAGGCACCAGGGACTTACAAGGGAACAATGAGTTGTCATAGTGAGGGCTGAGGCAAGACTTATTCTATACGGAACTGTTGGCGGTATCCATAGTTCCTCTGTTGAGTCCTCCCCCATCCCAGTGCGCTGACTCAGCACCACCATGAGTGAGATGTCATCAAACTGGATAAGAGGTCACTCCGCCCAAAGGGTTCCCTGAAACTCTGCCTCCCCCAACTTGCAGCCCCACCCAAGCCATATCCAGATGTGTCCTCAGTGACTTGGTGCTCCTTGCTGAGCAGCGCTCAGACTTACTCTGGTGGCAGCTGGTCTTGGTTTCTGGTGTGGTTTCTTGAGGTAATTATGAGCACAGCATTGGTGGATTGCTTGCTGAATCATAACAGGTGGTCCCAGAGGGGCACAGTCTGGGGCTAAATTTGGCCTGCAGCTGAACCCCTCTCAGGACTGTACTGCTGGACACCTATTACACAAAGTCGCACTAATAAGGCCGGGAGACTTAAGAGCTTTGCTTAATACATAGAAACAGACATAGAAAGGCAGTCAAAATGGAAAGACAAAAAAGCAGAAACTATATGAGAGAACAGAACAGAGATCCAGAAATAACGGAGTCAAGCAATCTAACAGATGCAGAGTTCAAAACACTGGTTATAAAGATGCTCAATGAATTTAGGGGAAGTGTAGATGAATTCAGTGAGAACTTTAATAAAGAGATAAACATAAAAATGGAAATAGAAAGGGAACCAGTAAGAAATGAAGAACCCATTATCTG